CTGATACTGACCCCTGGTGAAGGGTAGTGTGTACACTGTCACACTGATACTGACCCCTGGTGATGGGTAGTGTGTACACTGTCACACTGATACTGACCGCTGGTGATGGGTAGTGTGTACACTGTCACACTGATACTGACCCCTGGTGATGGGTAGTGTGTGTGTACACTGTCACACTGATACTGACCCCTGGTGATGGGTAGTGTGTACACTGTCACACTGATACTGACCCCTGGTGATGGGTAGTGTGTACACTGTCACACTGATACTGACCCCTGGTGATGGGTAGTGTGTGTGTACACTGTCACACTGATACTGACCGCTGGTGATGGGTAGTGTGTGTGTACACTGTCACACTGATACTGACCCCTGGTGAAGGGTAGTGTGTACACTGTCACGCTGATACTGACCCCTGGTGAAGGGTAGTGTGTACACTGTCACACTGATACTGACCCCTGGTGATGGGTAGTGTGTACACTGTCACACTGATACTGACCCCTGGTGATGGGTAGTGTGTACACTGTCACACTGATACTGACCCCTGGTGATGGGTAGTGTGTACACTGTCACACTGATACTGACCCCTGGTGATGGGTGATGGGTAGTGTGTACACTGTCACACTGATACTGACCCCTGGTGATGGGTAGTGTGTACACTGTCACACTGATACTGACCCCTGGTGATGGGTAGTGTGTTCACTGTCACACTGATACTGACCCCTGGTGATGGGTAGTGTGTACACTGTCACACTGATACTGACCCCTGGTGATGGGTAGTGTGTACACTGTCACACTGATACTGACCCCTGGTGATGGGTAGTGTGTGTGTACACTGTCACACTGATACTGACCCCTGGTGATGGGTAGTGTGTACACTGTCACACTGATACTGACCCCTGGTGATGGGTAGTGTGTGTGTACACTGTCACACTGATACTGACCCCTGGTGATGGGTAGTGTGTGTGTACACTGTCACACTGATACTGACCCCTGGTGATGGGTAGTGTGTGTGTACACTGTCACACTGATACTGACCCCTGGTGATGGGTAGTGTGTGTGTACACTGTCACACTGATACTGACCCCTGGTGATGGGTAGTGTGTACACTGTCACACTGATACTGACCCCTGGTGATGGGTAGTGTGTACACTGTCACACTGATACTGACCCCTGGTGATGGGTAGTGTGTGTGTACACTGTCACACTGATACTGACCCCTGGTGATGGGTAGTGTGTGTGTACACTGTCACACTGATACTGACCCCTGGTGATGGGTAGTGTGTGTGTACACTGTCACACTGATACTGACCCCTGGTGATGGGTAGTGTGTGTGTACACTGTCACACTGATACTGACCCCTGGTGATGGGTAGTGTGTACACTGTCACACTGATACTGACATCTGGTGAAGGGTAGTGTGTACACTGTCACACTGATACTGACCCCTGGTGATGGGTAGTGTGTACACTGTCACACTGATACTGACCCCTGGTGATGGGTAGTGTGTACACTGTCACACTGATACTGACCCCTGGTGAAGGGTAGTGTGTACACTGTCACACTGATACTGACCCCTGGTGATGGGTAGTGTGTACACTGTCACACTGATACTGACCCCTGGTGAAGGGTAGTGTGTACACTGTCACACTGATACTGACCCCTGGTGATGGGTAGTGTGTTCACTGTCACACTGATACTGACCCCTGGTGAAGGGTAGTGTGTACACTGTCACACTGATACTGACCCCTGGTGATGGGTAGTGTGTACACTGTCACACTGATACTGACCCCTGGTGATGGGTAGTGTGTACACTGTCACACTGATACTGACCCCTGGTGATGGGTAGTGTGTTCACTGTCACACTGATACTGACCCCTGGTGATGGGTAGTGTGTACACTGTCACACTGATACTGACCCCTGGTGATGGGTAGTGTGTACACTGTCACACTGATACTGACCCCTGGTGATGGGTAGTGTGTACACTGTCACACTGATACTGACCCCTGGTGATGGGTAGTGTGTGTGTACACTGTCACACTGATACTGACCCCTGGTGATGGGTAGTGTGTACACTGTCACACTGATACTGATACATATACCACATGTGACAACTCTCAATGTGTTGTGCATCTGTGTTATGTATCATGTCCCTACCCTGGAGCCATGTTGGAGTGTGTTTACATACGTAGTTCTATGTGTGTGTAACTAGTCTTAACGTGATTATTCTTTCCAGCATTTGGAAGGGACGCTTGTTAGTGATACTGGTCGGTAGTTAAGAGTTTCTTCTTTATCTCATCTGTTGACAATTGGTACCACATTTGGGGAACTCTGGGTACTGAGTTAGCTGGGTAACTCTCCCGTTGTAAGTGACTCTTTATAGATCCTTGCCAGAGGCACGCTGAGGGCCTGCGCTACCTCTCTTAGTAGCCACGGTGATACATTGTCTGCTCCAACTGATTTAGTTTCATACAAGGATGCTAGTAGTTTCTCTACGTCCTCTGCTGTCACTTCAATATTTAGAAGTCATCTCGGATCATCTCTTCCAGCCCGGGGAGCTGTTCAGGCTCAGTTGTGAACACTCCGTGAAACCGTGAGGCAGGACTTGCCATCCCTGAACCCATGTTGGTGGTGTTACAAAGTCCCTTCTCTCCAGATATGCCACTTTCTTTCTCACGACCCTGTCCATCATCTTGCATGGTATATAAGTTAGGAACACTGGCCTGTAGTTCAGTGCTTCCTGCCTGTCACCCTTTTGTATATTACGACAATGTAGTTCTCTTCCAACTTTCTAGTAGGTCTCCTGTTACCAGTGAACTACTGTAAATATAACTGATATCAACACGAGCGTGGCAGATTTTGAAAGAGAAATTGACAATATGCCCATGCACTCAGCCCCAGGTCCAGACTCATGGAATTCAATATTTATAAAGAAATGCAAAGTGCCGGTAGCACAGGCACTCAGTATAGTGTGGAGGAAGAGCTTGGACACGGGGGAGATACCAGATGCATTTAAAGCAGCAGACATAGCCCCTCTACACAAGGTAGGGAGCAAAGCATTGACAAAGAATTATAGACCAGTTGCACTAACGTCCCACATAATAAAAGTATTTGAGAGAGTGATCAGGAGTCAGGTCACTAGTTTCATGGAGACCAATGACCTCCACAACCCAGGCCAACATGGAGACCAATGACCTCCACATCCCAGGCCAACATGGACACCAATGACCTCCACAACCCAGGCCAACATGGAGACCAATGACCTCCACAACCCAGGCCAACATGGAGACCAATGACCTCCACAACCCAGGCCAACATGGAGACCAATGACCTCCACAACCCAGGCCAACATGGAGACCAATGACCTCCACAACCCAGGCCAACATGGAGACCAATGACCTCCACAACCCAGGCCAACATGTAGACCAATGACCTCCACAACCCAGGCCAACATGGAGACCAATGACCTCCACAACCCAGGCCAACATGGAGACCAATGACCTTCACAACCCAGGCCAACATGGACACCAATGACCTCCACAACCCAGGCCAACATGGAGACCAATGACCTTCACAACCCAGGCCAACATGGAGACCAATGACCTCCACAACCCAGGCCAACATGGAGACCAATGACCTCCACAACCCAGGCCAACATGGAGACCAATGACCTCCACAACCCAGGCCAACATGGAGACCAATGACCTTCACAACCCAGGCCAACATGGAGACCAATGACCTCCACAACCCAGGCCAACATGGAGACCAATGACCTCCACAACCCAGGCCAACATGGAGACCAATGACCTCCACAACCCAGGCCAACATGGAGACCAATGACCTTCACAACCCAGGCCAACATGGACACCAATGACCTCCACAACCCAGGCCAACATGGAGACCAATGACCTCCACAACCCAGGCCAACATGGAGACCAATGACCTCCACAACCCAGGCCAACATGGAGACCAATGACCTCCACAACCCAGGCCAACATGGAGACCAATGACCTCCACAACCCAGGCCAACATGGAGACCAATGACCTCCACAACCCAGGCCAACATGGAGACCAATGACCTCCACAACCCAGGCCAACATGGAGACCAATGACCTCCACAACCCAGGCCAACATGTAGACCAATGACCTCCACAACCCAGGCCAACATGGAGACCAATGACCTCCACAACCCAGGCCAACATGGAGACCAATGACCTCCATAACCCAGGCCAACATGGAGACCAATGACCTCCACAACCCAGGCCAACATGGATTTAGAGCAGGAAGATCATCCCTCTCACAGCTACTTGACCATTACGACAGTCACCGAGGCATTAGAAACAGCCTGTTGGATCAAGCTCTCACACAGGCCAGGCTTGGAGAATAGAAGAAGGCCCAGAACCCCATCAAGCAGGTAATTTAAAGTGTCTCCTAACCTACCATAGGACCCAAAATAGAAAACGGGAGAATACGCCACTTTCGCGAGCCGCTTCATTCGCTAATACGACAATTTTTGGCCGTATATAACGCATACGTGCGAAAAGCGACGCTCTTTGTAGGAGGAAAGGTATACCCTGGAAACACAAACCGTAACTGTCTCTATTTTCCGCTTGTTACAACTTGCAATAAAGTTGTTACATCTCGGCTTAACGTGTTTTTGACGTATTAGAACGTTGTTACAACTTGCTATATTGGTTGTTATATCTGGTTAGGAGGCGTTAAAACTTGTTCGAACGTTGTACCAACGTCGTAGTTTCGGTGTGTGTTTGGCGGGTTGTAGGAAGACAGCTTGATTATACAACAGAGTGGCAAGCATAGTGCTTCTGCACCCTCTTTTAGTATCCTGTGTGCCCTGGGGGTGACGTGGTGGGGGGGGGGGAGACCAGAGTGCCCACACTCGCTAGACCAGAGTGCCCCCCCCCCTCCTGGGGCTAACGACACCCCTCCTAGGGCTAAAGACCCCCCCTCCCCCCCCCCCAACAGTCCAGAGAGGGGGTACTCACCCGTCGTTTCCTAGGAAGGGCGTCGTCGAAGAGCGTGTCGTCCAGCTCGAGGCCGTCGTCGATGGTGCCGGCGGGGCAGGACTCTGAGAGCGGCGGGGAGGGTGTGGCCGAGCGGTGGGCGGGTGACCGCGACGACGACGACGAGGACGACGACGACCCGTCCACCCACGACCACACGCCCGATGACACCGACGACCCCGGCGACTCCCCGATCACACCTGCTGGAGGAGAACACCGGTGTTAGAACACATATTAGAGAGAACAGGTGTTCTAGGCCCGGTAGGCCGAGAACAGGTGTTCCAGGGCCGGTAGGCCGAGAACAGGTGTTCTAGGCCCGGTAGGCCGAGAACAGGTGTTCTAGGCCCGGTAGGCCGAGAACAGGTGTTCCAGGGCCGGTAGGCCGAGAACAGGTGTTCCAGGGCCGGTAGGCCGAGAACAGGTGTTCTAGGCCCGGTAGGCCGAGAACAGGTGTTCTAGGCCCGGTAGGCCGAGAACAGGTGTTCTAGGCCCGGTAGACCGAGAACAGGTGTTCTAGGCCCGGTAGACCGAGAACAGGTGTTCTAGGCCCGGTAGGCCGAGAACAGGTGTTCTAGGCCCGGTAGGCCGAGAACACCATTAACACTAACTGGCGCCAGGGCCTAATGCATGTATATCAGCCCCGATAACACCGGGAAAATGTGGAAATGTATTCATTTACAGGATTTAGTGACCAGGATGTTCCAGTACTTTTTCTCATCCTCATATCGGACATAGACCAGAACACAACCTATAGCACTGTATCATCCCTGGCAGATGACACTATATCGGACATAGACCAGAACACAACCTATAGCACTGTATCATCCCTGGCAGATGACACTATATCGGACATAGACCAGAACACAGCCTATAGCACTGTATCATCCCTGGCAGATGACACTATATCGGACATAGACCAGAACACAACCTATAGCACTGTATCATCCCTGGCAGATGACACTATATCGGACATAGACCAGAACACAGCCTATAGCACTGTATCATCCCTGGCAGATGACACTATATCGGACATAGACCAGAATACAACCTATAGCACTGTATCATCCCTGGCAGATGACACTATATCGGACATAGACCAGAACACAACCTATAGCACTGTATCATCCCTGGCAGATGACACTATATCGGACATAGACCAGAATACAACCTATAGCACTGTATCATCCCTGGCAGATGACACTATATCGGACATAGACCAGAACACAACCTATAGCTCTGTATCATCCCTGGCAGATGACACTATATCGGACATAGACCAGAACACAGCCTATAGCTCTGTATCATCCCTGGCAGATGACACTATATCGGACATAGACCAGAACACAACCTATAGCACTGTATCATCCCTGGCAGATGACACTAGGATCATCATAAAGAGTAGGCAACATAGAGGACACGGCAAACCTCCAGTCAGATGTAGATCAGGTTTTTCTATGGGCTACAGAAAATAATATGGTGTTTAACGAAGATAAGTTCCAGCTCATGCGCTACGGGAAAAATGAAAATATAAAAACAGAAACCACGTACAAAACTCAGGGAAATCATAACATAGAACGTAAAGGCAATGTAAAGGATCTGGGTGTACTCATGTCGGAAGACCTTGTAACTAGAGAACAGTACATAATAGTACAACATGAACATCATAACAGCATGAACAAGCCACGTGGAGGATGAACAAGCCACGTGGAGGATGAACAAGCCACAGACGCGGCGCCAGTCAGACTATGGAAAAAGTTACACCTGTCTACCAGTTAACCATTGGGGCAGGTCAACGGTCACCGTGTCACTAGGAGGTCAGAGTTGATGCCGTCATGATAATCTTCAGGGATTAACTCCTAAACTTCAAATGCAAACCCTCATGTTCAGCTGAGGAGCAGGAGATGATGGGAGACGGACAGTAGAGTGGGTGACGCCCAGGAGGACGGTGTGTGTGGACTCCGGGAGGGAACATCATCTCCAGTACACCATGGGAGTAAGTAAGGCTCTCTTGAGCTAAAGCACCTCAATCACTACTCTTGGCCTCTGGTAGGAAATAGTTAGGGAAGTGTCTATTTAATTATTTTCGATAAAGTCTTATATATGTCAGTGTTAGTAAATGTGT